GCAGCTACAAGGACTTAAGAACTTCCTGATTATCTATATTTGGGGAAATGCTGGCAAAGGACTTAAGGAATGTTCAATCAAAATCAGTTCTTTTACAATAGGTCGATGGCATGTTGATTAGCAATCAGCACCTACAAGGACTGTTTGCGTAACACCATCACAGTCCTTAATAATTTGGCAAAAAGGTGTCATTTCATAAGGCCCAGATTTCCAAACAGGAAGGGGCATTCCTGGGATTTCAACTGAAACAAAGTACCACAAGCTTGAGAGCAGATAGAAGGCAAGCCATTGGTATATTCAAAATCCCAGAGAACTAAAGGCAGCTTCGTGGATTCTTAAGAATTACAGGGTTCTGCTGAATTTGAATCCCAAATTTTGGACTTATAGCAAAACCACTGTATAATTCCTTGAAAGGACTGGGCTCTGAACCCTTTGAATAGACAGGGGATTGTCAGGTAGCATTTGATACCTTGAAGGAAAAGCTAGTTTCGGCTCCTGCACTAGGATTGCCCAATTTACAGAAGCCTTTCAAAGTGTATGTTCATGAAAAGCAGGGGATTAGACTGGGGGTACTAACCCAGACTCTGGGAAATATTTCCCGACCCTTAGCCTATCTCTCAAAGAAGCTGGATCACACAACAAAGGGATGGCCACCATGCATTTGGGCAGGAGCAGCTCCCTGTGACATCTTGTAGGAAGCTAAGAAGTTTACTTTTGGGCATCCCATACGCCCGCTACAGTAGTGGTGCCATACCAGGTCCAGACTCCATTGGACAAGGACGGTACTGGCTGACAGCAGGGCGTATGGGGAAATACCAGGCCATTTTCCTGGACAACCCAAATGTCACCTTGCAGACCACCACAACTCTGAACCTGGCCACCCTACTCCCTGATATGGAGGGGGACTCAGCCCTCCAGCATGATTGCTTGGAAATTATGACCAAGTTTATTCGAGCAGGCCAGAGCTGCTGGAACAGCTGCTGGCAGCAGCAGACTGGAAGCTGTATACCGATAGGAGCAGCTTCACGGACAACGGCCAGCGATGAGCCGGGTATGTGCTAGCCTCCACAGACAAGGTAACAGAAGCCCAAGCCCTAGCACCAGGAACCTCAGCACAAAAGGCTGAATAACCATCACAAGAGCCTTAATACTGCCCCAAGGAAAGTTTAACATGTACACAGACTCCAAATATGCCTTCATGTAAGTCCATGCCCATGGAGCAATATGGAGAGAGAGGACTCTTAACCTCAGGGAGCAAGAATGTTAAACATGCAGAGATTTTACAATTGCTGGAGGCAGTGAATCTATCAGTCCAAGGGGTCATAATTCACTGCCCAGGAAACCACAGGGCTGGTTCAGAAACAAATCAGGGAAACTAAACTGCTGATAAAGCAGCAAGACAGGCAGCCACAGGGCTGCCACACCTACGGGCTTTGATTCCCTGTTTGGACTTGTCAAAGTTTAAAGATTTTATTTATTTATTTTTTTAGAGAGAGGGAGAGAGAAAGAGAGGGAGAAAAACATCAATGTGTGGTTGCCTCTCATGTGCACCCTACTGCGGACCTGGTCTGCAACTCAGGCATGAGCCCTGATGGGAATTGAACCAGCAACCCTTTTGTTTGCAGGCAGCACTCAATCCGCTGAGCCACACCAGCCAGGGCTGGACTTGTCAGTTTAAACCTCATTACACAGAATGGGATGAGGAATGGGCCATGAATGGCAATGCATTAACACTGATCCCAATTCTATGTGGAAGGCCAATGTCCATGGTATGATTTACTCACTGAAGCTCTAGTGTATCCCATCCTCAAACATCTACATGAAGGAACCCATTATGGAAGGAATGTTTTAATGGACTTCATTAGGCCACATCTGAAAGGCCCACATTTGCAAAGGACTGTTCAGAGGATTACCCAAGCCTATCAAATATGTGCCAAGAACAATCCTGAGACAGAGCGCGCCCCAATGGAAAAGGGAATACAATATAAAGGGGTGTGTCCAATTAAGGACTGGGAGGTGGACTTCACACAAATGCCTAAAACCAGGGGAATTTCAAATTTTTGTTAGTCTTTGTGGACACTTTTTCTGGATGGGTAGAGGCATACCTGACTAGAACTGAGAAGGCAACTGAGGTGACAAAACTGTTACTTAAAGAAATAATTTCTTGGTTTGGACTTCCTCGCAGCATTCAAAGTGACAATGGAAATGGACCATTGTTCACTTTAGAGATCTCCCAGAAGGTTGGAAAGGCCCTGCAAATGCGATGGAAATTGTATGCATGTTGGAGACCTCAATTTACGGGAAAGACAGAAAATGAACCATATGATAAAAACCCTGGCAAAAATCGGCTGGGACACACATTTAAAGTAGGACCAGGCACTCCCCATTGCTTTGTTCTGAGTTAGGGTGGTGCCCAGAAGCAGGCTTAAATTGAGCCCTTTTGAAATAGTTTATGGGAGACCCCTCCAAATCTCTGGTTTAAGAATGCCCCCTTTAGATTTGGAGCATGGGTCAAGAATTAAGCAATATGTGCAACATTTAGGTCAAACACTAACCATTTTGCACAAGTTTGCTAATTGCAGGCTCACTTACCCACCCACCTGAGGAAGCCATTCTGGCCAGGGGACTTAGTCTTACTGAAGACCTGGAAGACTCAAGGCCCTGACCAACAGCTGCCCAAACAATGGTCTGGTCTCTATGATGCCCTGTTGACAATGCATTCTTCCCTAAAGCTGATGGGAATCAAGCCCTTGATCCACCACACATGGATAAAATGGGCACCGCCTGAGGAGGATGCAGACCCTGCTGATGTGGTTGATGCTGAAAGGGAAAGCTTGACCAGCACTCTGGAAGGAAACTGAAATTTCTCCTCTGAAAAGAACAGTAAACTCCAACACAGGATGATATTTCTTTTACTTTATTCATGTGCTTGTAAAGCTAGGGACTTCTAGCTGCCAGATACTGACTTTGAATATGCTCCTTCCCATTGTGGAAATGAACAAGGATTCAAAGTGGATTATGGTTAAATCTGAATGACTAAAAATATATAAAAAGGTTGTGAAAATTTTAAACCTGGAGGAAGGTAACCTCAGCTCTTGGGTGTGGTCATTCTTTATGTGCTTGTTTTCTGGTCTTAGGGAGATATGATCTGAACTTTTGCTGGTTTGGATACATCAGGAATCCTGTCTCTGGTTTTGCGCCAGTGAGACCTAGGAGACGTCAACTGTAAAACCAGTTGGAGAGAATGACTTTGCCACGTGGGACCTAGGAAGGCTCACGTCGCGCTGGTGGAACCCAGCCTGGGGCAAGAGAGCATGTCTCTGCGAAGAGACTGAGTGGGAGGAGGCCATATCTCTGCCAGAAGACCCATGGAGGAGTTGGAAGATGAGACACTGGCTCTACCAATGAGGCTTCAGGCCACGTGGGACCGAGGAAAGGTTGCCTGTGTGACCAATTAGAGGGACCAGTGAGAAATGAGACAAGATTCTAAAGTTAGTTCCAGACCCCTTCTTCTCTTGGAACTCTGTCTTTGCTTTGAATTTTGCTGTTTCTACTCTGAAAGGACATCGGAAATACAATTTTAGTGATAGAAGGACATGGATTTTCCTTCACACTTTATATATATTTTTCTCCCTACCTGATCCCTCCAGAACTTGGCATTCTGAGGGAGGGAGTGAAGACATAAGGTTTCTTTGCAAAAAACCAGTAAGATCAGTTGCCAATGGTGGTTTTACTAACCAAGAATTTGGCTGGATTGTGATGTCTGAAGGAGGCAAATCCAGGCTCTGGTTGTTACTAGAAAGCCTTGAGGAACTGAGACTGACTTTTAAAGCTAATGTCCACAAGAAAAAGCCTGGTAACTTGGCTGGTTGTGTGGTTCATGGCAGTCTTTCCAGGGAAGGAACGAAGGTTGCTTTCCTGAAAGATGGCAAGGAGGAACCGTAAGGCACAATGTAAACCTTAAGGACTTGAGAGAGGACGTACTTCTGCTTCTCTGAAGGACGTACAAAGAAGTCACTCTCTTGGGATGTGTGCCTCCCTAGACTCCAACATGATCCAGTGTAACATGGCACGTTTTCCTGGACCACTTACAAGGAGACTGAGAACAGTGCATACCAGGTCCTGAAGGTGGGAGCTGCTGCCAGAGGATGGCAACTTTGAAACCTCCAAGTGCACCTTCCAGAGGGGATAGAGATCTGTTTGCGTGACTGGCTTAAGGGCAGGTAAGGATATGGGGAACTTCTGGGCATGGTTTTGGCTTGTGGCCTTTTGGAAAGCAAGGAAGACTCTGGTCTTGTGTGAAAGGAGGACTCTGAGCAGGAGTGCTCTTGGCAGCCCCTCCACCCCCAAGGTTGGACTCCTATTAATAAAAATCTGTTTCCTTTAATACTAATTGTTGGGTCATATGTCAAGGTGCCCGGTGGCAGAGCCCTGGTTTGCTTGGTAACATACATCTGTGAGAAGCTGACGTAAGTGGAGCCATTTTAAAACAGAGCCAAAGTAAAGGAACTGCTTGCACATTAAATTTTGGAATGTTTGTACTGGTAAAATAACATTTAGACTTGGACAAAGCAATTATTTGTAAACCTAATAGCACAGCAGACATCTGACCATAAGGACTAGTGATTATAGACATTCTTTCTGAAGACAAAATCAGTAACTCTATCTGTCAACACTAACAGAAATTTCTTTTCTCTATTCATGTAATCACTTCCCCTCCTTTTCTCATAAAAACCCCTTGCCTTCACCCTGTAACTGGGGCACAATTTGGGCTTGTGCATGAATCTGTACCCCGAAACGCAATTCTGTGACTTCAAATAAATACTTGTTGCCTTTCACTTTGACATTTTATTTTTAGGTTAATACACTTTTTAAAGGAATGGAAGCAAAACAAATCCTAAAAATATTAAAGCTGAATTTCAGTAAAACATACAGCATATCTATTTGAGGAGCTATCTACTCAAAATGTGTCTAAATTATATCAGACCTTAGGCATTTACCTGTTTATACAGTGCATAGAGTTTTAGCTTTACTTCATTTCCTGGATCCTTCTTCAACAGCTTTATCTGATTCACTGCATTTTTAAACTCCTCCTGACTGGCTCTCATTGTTGTTCCACTCCTGTGCAACTGAAGTGCTGGGAAGCTAATGACCTGCAGAGGACTGCAAACAGGCAGACTGATTTCTAATTATTCCCAACCTATGTTTCCCTATAAATATTTTCCCAATACTTGTCCCAAGCAAGCTGGCTGCAAATGGTTAATGGTTTCCAAAATGATCCCTAGATAAGAAATCAATACAGAAGCTAACTGCAGCAATTTAAAATAAAGGTACAGGAAGCTACTATCCAGCATGTTGCCTGGAGCAATTTAAATTACATACAAACATACATGAGAGATAATGCACATTTGGTTCCAGAGCACAGCAATAAAGGGAGTTTCACATCGAAGCAAGTTGCAATCTTGCTAGTGGAGAGTCCTGTCTTCAATTTGTAAAAAGCACACATCTGTGAAGCACAATAAAATGCAATAAAATGACGTGTGCCTAAGCCCAAAAAGCCATGTAAATTTTGCCACAGGCAAAAGGTACATGAAAGGCATACAAGACCTAATAGAGCAAGAGACTGATCTAAGGGGGTAAAGTGCACAGAAAGAATTTAGTAGTTTGCCTCCCAAGGCCCAGAAACAGCCTCTGCACTCTCTGATTTAATAATGAAGCATGGATGGACCTGGAGAGTATTATGCTAAGTGAAATAAGCCTGTCAGAGAAAGACAAGTACCATATGATTACACTTATATGTGGAACCTAATGAACGAAATAAAGTAACAAGCAATATAGAAACAGCTGCAGAGAACAGACTGACAGCTGTTGGGGGGAGGGGTTTGGGGACTTGGTGAGAAGTGTCAAGGGATTAAGCAAAAAAAAAAAAAAAAAAAAAAAAAAAAAGGAAAAAGGCTCAAGGACACAGACAAAAAGTACGGTTGTTAGCGGCAGAAAGGGAGGTGGGGGGGGGAGGTAGAAGAGGGTAAAGTGGGGATAAATGGTGATGGAAGGAGACTTGATTTGGGGTGGTAAACACACATTACAATGTACAGACCATGTGTTGTAGAATTATATACCTGAAACCCATATAATTTTATTAAGCAATGTCATACCAATAGATTCAATAAAAAAAGAAAATCACAAAACAGAACAAAAACAAAAAAGAAAAAAAAAAATGAAGCTCTGCTGAGCAGACATAGACTCACTTCTAACCCCATCATGTTTTAACCAGCCTGCCAGCAGCAGAAACAAAGCACAGCCAGGTAAGTCAGTTTTTAAACACATACAGTTAGCAGAGGGAAGAATTAAATTGGGTGTACAATATCGAGGACACAAGCAAAAAAAAGGATGTTCACAATGATGATCTTGAATAATAAAGTTAGTAGCATCAAAGATGAGTAAAATAATAGTAACGAATAAAGCCCAAACATAGCAAATGTATTAACTCCTCTACAATAATGTAACCTTCAAAGAGTGTGAAGTCTAGGTTCAAACTTTGAAATATTAGCGTCTAATTCAATAAAATTGGTCTTCAATAAGTTTTATTCTAAATATTTGATTAAAGGTTTTTTTTTTTTTCTTTCTGGAAAAACTCTGTATCCTACACGAATTTGGCACCTGGCATGTTCCAAGTAGAAAACGAAGCAAAATTAAAAGTGTCCATATAAGATCTTAAATGTGCAAGTTCTCACAATATAATGCAAACTTATTCTCCAGAAAGCAAACAGTTTAACCCCACACTGACAACGGATTTGCGTTTCTAAAGCGTTTAGCAAATAAGCAAAGCCAGCTCAGAATACGTTTGCAACCTAAAAGCTTCCAGGGTGACGCAGCTCCAGCCTCCCAGACGAGGAGCGGCTGCGCATTTCATAATGGCACTAGAGGCCCTTTTCAATTTGGAAAACTATTAAAGCATAATCCTCATGGTACAGAGATAACGGGGCGGCTCCCTCGGGCTGGCGGCGTCTCCTGGGGAACCTTGGGCGCTGGGCTCAGCACTTACCTGTCTCTGGAAAGAGCTCTATAGCACAAGGGAGGAACCAGTGTTACTGCCAGCCTTGCCATACAGATTTCCGGAAGATGGGCGGAACTATACGGGTGAGGGGTTCGTGAGGCGGGAAGGGACCCAATAAGTTCAGTTCGGACGGTGCGGTGCGGGACCACCGCGATACGTGACTGGGAGAGAGAATGCAGGGGACAGGGCCGAGGGCGGGGAGGGGTGGGTCTGAGGATAGGAGGGGGTCTGACGATAGGGGAGGAGGAGGTGAACGGGGAGGGAGAGCCCGGACGTGATAGGTCGGGGCGAAGCTGGGGTGGGGCTAGCGCGCTCGGTGTAGGGGCTGAAGGGAGAGTGGGTGGGCAGGGCCAGTGGGGGGTGGGGGCGAAGCTGTGAGCAGAACCGGGACGCGATTGGTCAGGGCGAGGCCGGGGCGGATCTGGTGCGCGGGGTCTAGGAAGCGGATGGGCAGGGACGCAGTAGGTCGTTGTCTTGTTTCGCTGGTGTGGGTATTCAAGTCCGGAGACATTAGTTAGCTGATTGTCTCAAAGATTCGAGACTTGCAAGTGGTCAGAGTCCTAATTCAACCCAGTGCTCTAAGTCGGAGTCCCAAGTAATTTTATTCTGTGCTCATAGCCCATTATTATTTGTACTTCATCAGGCAGATCAGGGTAACAGTGTAGGTGGGGGCAAGATGGAAGGCCAAGTAGAACAATTCGGACTTACTCTAAATATTTTTTCAGCTTCTCAAGGCGATGGTTGGTAGGCTGAGGCGAATCAAAGACCCTGACGCCCCTCCCAGGCTGTTAGGTGACCCGAGGTAATGGAAATACACTAGCCAGAATTTGCGATATTGGAAAATTCAATAAGCTCCAGAAGATGAAACACCTCTCATAGAAATACTATTAATGTTTTTAAAAAGTCCTTTACTGGTTTGGGTTGAGCAACTTTTTGTAATGTAAGGAAACTCTTCTCAGGCTTATACCTACTGTATTTCACACAGAAAAGTGGGCTGTGGAAAACTAGCTGTCTTTATCAAAAGTATAATTTAACAAATACAGAAGGAGCATGTGCCAATAATTTACCTAACTTACTAATTAGGGAACCGCCAGGATAGTAAAAAGAGAATCTGAAAGACTGGTTTATGTAATCAGTGTAAAAAAAGAATGCTGGGATAGATTGCAGGGTTAGATACACAAATGATTACTGTCCTGCAGAGCAAGAAAACCATAACCTTTGGGGCATTATTCCCCCTAATGGGCAAATTATTTTCATCTCTACCAGCTGTCATTTACTAAAGACCAATTAGATGGCAGTGTTGCAAAGACAATCGTGGCAGATAATTCATTTTGCGTCCCCCTTGGTCTTTAAACCATCACCAGGAGTCCAGGCTATGCCATTTAAACATGGTTACCATGGCCTTGTGAGTGAAGAGATGAGATCTCAGTAACAGGAAACCACCTGAGCATGAAGTTCATTGTATCCATGTTAAGGACTTTGGATTCTGTGTTAAGAACAATGGAGAGCCATTGAAGAAATATAAGGGGGACCCTCCCCCACAAAAAACTGATGTTACCTTCTGGAGCTGGGCACCATGTAGTACAGGCTTTCCCCACTAGGTGAGTGTTCAAGGAACCTATCTGTATCAGTGTACCAGATGGTGTTGTGATAGACTGTGTTCAGCTTCAGTGAATTTTTTTGGAAAACTCAATGTGTTTGTCCATTTTATGATGGATGATTTATGAGCACACCTGCTCACACTGTGGTGAGTGTTCAACAGTTTTTCACCAAAAACAGCTTGACCGCTGTGCCCTACCCTCCCTATTCACCCAATCTTGCCGTGACTTCTTTTTTTTTTTTGTTTCCCTGGATGACAAAAGTCCTCAAAGGGAAACATTTTGCAGATGTGGAACAAGTGAAACAAAAAATGGCAGAAGCACTAAAAGGCATCAAAATCGATGAGTTCAAAAACTGTTTTGAACAGTGGAAAAATTATCTTATAGGTGTATTGCATCAAAGGGAGAGTACTTTGAAGGTGACTGAAACTTAAATGTATAAGCAATAATGCATAATTTTTAATAAATAAATTCTGATTTTTGGGGGAGTCCTCCCTTGTAAGTGGTATGTCTGGTTATCCAGTTCTTAGTGCAATCATATACTCCTGCAGTATTCTCAGAGTAAAATTCTTTCAGGTAAAAGTAAGAAATGCAGAAACCCAGTCAAGACCTCATCCAAAGTTTTAATCTCCACCCTGTGACATGATCAGTTTCCTTGGTTCTAATGAAGGCCTTGGGAGGGCACTATCCTATCCAGTTACATCTTGTTTTAGGGTACTGATTGCTGGGAGGGGTACCTAGAATGGGAGTTGATGTTGTTGTCTGTACAGGGAATCCCAGAATCCCTGAGTGGTCACATGTGCCCAGGAGGAGCTGTCCCCTGTTGTAATGACAACTGTGCTCAGTGGTAGGGCTAAATGTTTACTTTTTATGAACACAAAGTAGAATTTACCATTTGTGACACTTCTGTTAGACATAATGATTACCTTTATTGCTGATACTTAAATATCATCAGATACTGTTATTATAACACATAAAAGGTCTGCCATATTCAGTCATGAGGAACTATTTAGGCACCATTGTCCAATTAATAGTGCAGGCTAGGAACCTGGAAGTGTAATGGGGCACAGCCAGGGCCCCCCAAAGTGTCCAGAAATTGGGGTGTCCAAGAAAAATATATTCTCCTCACCTTCAGACAGGCCTCCATGGGGGATGGGAGATCTGGAGCAGGGCCATTGAGAGTTACTTTGCCTACCAGTAATGGGCCAGCATCACACCAGAAGTGGAGCAGGGCCATTGAGAATTATTTTGCATGTCAATAACAGGATAGCTTCATTCCTCAATATGCAAAGAGGATTATTTTGCATTTCAACAAGGCTAACCTGGAAGGTTTGAAAGACTTAATACTGAATGTAACTGGGAGAGGAAGGAGGAGAGACCGAGGGACACAGGCTGTGGGGAATAAAGGGAAGGTCACATGGGAAGAAAAGGGGAGAGAGGACTCTTGCTAGTGGGCCAGGAGAAGGTGCCACATGGTTTTGGATTAAGAACTGGAGATCTCAGCAATGCAGCGGATGGTGCTGAGAACCGCGAGAGGCCTGCTTAGCTGAGCCCCGGACTTTTGTTCTTTTTCTTCTGAAGGACGGTACTCCTGACTGGCCTAACTGGGTAAAGGTGGTAAGGCAGGACTGTGTGTGTTGGTGGGTGTTTTAAATGGTGGGAGCTTTAAAGGGATTTTGAGATTTAAGAGCAACTTTTAGCCATTAATCAAACCTGTATAACTTTTGAATAAATAGTTCCTTTCCTCCTCTCCAAACTCTGCCATTGAGAGCCATAATTCCAAGGGCAGCGGGCAAAGGACCTACAAGAGAGGGACCCCGGGGAAGGGGGAGTCGTTTCGGTAATTGCATCTGGGCAACCCCTCCACGGGACCATTTTTTTGCTAACAGAAGCATCCTGGACTCCTTCTTACACAGTGATAACCTCACTTCTATCGGTTTCCAAGTCCTAGTGATTCTGTCTCCTAAATATTTCCTCATTTTTTCTCTTTTCCCCTACCACTGTCCCAATTCAGGTCCTCATGGTGATTGGATTAGTTGCTTGAATTATCATTACTTTCGTTGCAAATAGCCACTTACCAGTTTTTCTGACTTATTAGCCCCACATTTACAGTCCATTCTCTACCTGCTTCCTGACTAAACTTACTAAATTGTAAACCTGACATTACACTTATAATCCTTTCCCTTTGATAGAAAATTTTGTTTTGGGGCTCTTTGCCTTTTGAACGAATCTAAACTTCTTGGCCTGACCTATGAGGCCCTCAAGACTTGGTCCTTGCCTTCCTGCCTAGTTCATTCCTCACCAAGTTTCATAATTAAACCTTCCACTTCAGGTAGACTTGAGATGCTCAGCTTCTCTAAATCTCTGTAGTTCCATGTTCTTTCGGTTCAGGCACTACCTTATCCAGGGAGCCCCCCTGACCTCCCACTGGGTATGTTTTCTTCTTCTGAGTTCCTTTAATCTCCACAGATTTCTCTTTCTAATAGTACGTTTATCACTATGTATGCATCTGGTTAGTAATATGTCTCATTAGTGACCCAAGGGCACACCCTGGGAGGAATCCTACCCTTACAGTCTACCCATTTCCCATCTCCTGACACACTAATTGACATAAAATATTCTGTGAATGTGTGTGGAATGGTGAATGTGCTTTTGAAAGTTTCTATCTAAGCCATGTTTTTCCATGTTTAGTCATAAGTTATGAGTAAATTGTCATCTTTTTATTAAGTTGTCAAAAGGAATAAACATCAGTGTTTTTGTGCTTTGGAAAAATTTTTTTTTCAATGAGGATGGCTTGAGGAGAAGGAATTTGACTATTGCCATGTTCTTGCACTACAACAAACTAGAAAAAGTGGTACTAAGGTAACTATGGTATTATTTAACTCTGTAAATTTCTGAGGGAAAATGTGTTCTTCTGTTAGTCATTAAAGGTATGAGTCTACGTTCTGTGTTCTTTATAACTGGTTTGTGCTTTAATTCTATCACATTGCTGGAGATTAATTAAAATTGTGTATTATTATGCTTTCTTTACCAAATTATCTGTCCCCTACCAAGTTAAGCTTTGTGTCATCTTCCTATATAGTGTTTTATGTTCATGTCAGAGAAACTAAAAATAACATTTGGAATATTATATGCTTTTGAGTGTTCTCATTCCTAATTGTTATAATTTGGAGAATGCAGACATTTCAGAAGTAAACATTTGACTCACTGCATCACCTTAGCTTCCGTTTTCTGTACCTGCAGGATTTGTTCATTCACCCAAGCCTATTTTATGCACATTCCTGTGCGTGTGTGTGTGTGTGTGTGTGTGTGTGTTGCACAAACGTTAAGCCCACCTTATTCTCAAGGATTACTTTTTAGCTATTCTTATGTAGCGAAGAAATCTCTCTCAGGCATCCTCCTCTGAGAATGATTGAAACTGATAGATATTATTGTGTAAGAAATGGCTGCCTTTTTCCCCCAGAGTCATTCCAGTTTTTCTTGTTACTAGAGCTTAATTAAAACCAATTTAAGGGCTTAGAAAAGAATAAAAACAATGATTGCAGTAAATATTAGCTGAGGAGAACCCACAAAGAATCATTAGCTATGCGTTCAGCCCAATGTCATGT